ATAAATATTTGAGCATTTATGTCTGAACCTGGAATGAGAACAATCCATCAGTGTAAACTGTCTAGAAATTGAACAACAGGATGGAGGGACGAGCATATCTCTCACATTTTCAATTTATCAGCTCATAAATTAAAGCAGCTGCTTTGAAAATAAACATATCACTGCATCTCTGAAAGTCTGCAGGGAATATCTGAAAATGCAAAGGTTCAGATCTTTCTTCAGGACTTTTATCCAGAATAACCAGGATGATGTGATAAAAAAAGAGAGCTTTACTTTTTCAACTACAGGAAGAGTAAAGAAATAAAATTTTAGGAGTACCTGTTTAATGGAACCTGTTTCCTACAATTAAATGTTTTTTAAAGGTTTATGTTATCCAGTCCTCTATGGTGGACGTGGGGGAGCGGTCCTCCACATTGGAGAACGGGTTCCAGCAGATAACTAGAGGAAAATCAGACATGGGTCCAGTTCTAAGGACAGATAAGATACTGCCAACAACCCTCAGGCTCCCAGGGGTCGGGTTGAGAGCCCAACTTTGAGACGAACAAACCAGCCACCCGGCCCAGGAGTACAGGGTGTTTGAGAGAACAGTTTTAACGGAGTTAAAGACACGATATAGAAAAAACTAAAAGAAAGAAAAAAGAAATCAACATGAAACTTGTATTATTTACTAGTTTTCTTAAATGTAACCTCTCCAAAGTTCATCTCCCACACTTAAAACTTCCAGAAGTAGATTTCAGACTCTTCCTTCCTTTTTGTAAACTAAACGTTTAATTATCTACCCCAACAGGTCCTACCTACTGAACTAAAATGTGGAAAAATGCTTTTAGACCGAAAACACCAACTTTAAGCTTGTTCATACAAAATCCTTCATAGAGGACTAGGGATGGGAATCCAAAACCGGTTCCTGCTTAGAACCGGTTCTGAGTGTTCCAGTTCCATGGCACCGTTTGGCAGCTCGCTTCACGTTTCTCTTAACGGTTTCAGGCAGCACCAGAGCCTAGCGGTGGGCAGCACCACTTACATCACGTTTTTTTACGCAAGTTATGCACAAGGCATTCAGTAAGTACGACGTGACTGTGATTAGTGAAAAGTGAACATGTGAGTGAAAGGTGTACTACTACTGCACAAAAATTGCCCATACTGGGACGAATAAAAGCTACTGAACTAAAGTGAACTGAACCAGGCGTAAGTCTAGGAAAGCAAAACAAAAAAATGACATCCCATCGGGTAAAGCTGGGCGTACACTGTGCGATTATTTCAGTGGTTGCACGCATCTACTGCCTTGCGGTTTAGTACAGTGTGAGCTCACAGCTCACGATTTATGTTCGGCCCGACGCTCTCATGCGATCTACCTGCTCACACTCTGCGACTAAAAACCACTCAGTTCCTCAGCGAGATGGAGCTGCTCTGACTCGTCTATTCGGAAGACAGACAAATAGACGGGGAATTTAAAGCTCATTAGAGTGAAACGCGCTGCCTTGGATATTTGGGCAATTTAGTGCTGAAAGCCCTAAAAAGAAAAGGAGACGACGTATTTAGACAAAGATATGGCTGAGCTAAAGCGGCTACTACGGCCTGTCAGTTTTACAGACAGAACAGCATTTCACTCATTGCCCCCCCGCCATGCTGCTGGGTTTACAGAAGAATCCTTGTTGGTGCATACGCACTTAGTGATTTGCCCACATGTTTGATTTTCTCCCGTTCTCCCGATTCCGGATCAGGAGGTGGTCGTTAGAGGCTGATCGCCCCTCGTTACTCCCTGTACACTATAAGACTCACGATGCACGATCAGGCTGAAAGTCGGGCTGATTGAAAGGTTCTCGCACAACTGGAAAATCACCCCAAAAATCGCACAGTGTACGTCCGGCTCAAAGCGATTGACAGTTTGGATGTAAAGTTTCAATAACATCCGCGGGAGGAAATACATCCAACATGCAGAAACACCTGCGCACACAACATGGCATGTATTTTAACGAATGCCGTGTTTTTGATGCTTCCGGACAAAAGCTAAAGTTACGATCAGCATGGAAGGAAACTCTGGTGGCTAGTAGCTAGTTTTATATCACTGACTGAGCTTAATGAGCTTCCTAGTAAATCAGATGCCTTTTCTGGAAATTAACCAATTTCCTATCTGGGGTTATTAAACATGCTACCAAGTGGCTCCGCAGTTCAGGGAGCGAGAGAAAGCTGACGCTCATTTATTTAAATCAGGATGAGGTTAGTTTATTTCCCCAAATTGTACAGTAATGCTTTTTCATTAAACGGATGCCTTCTCCATTAGATTTAGATGACTTTGAGGAGACGGGTAGCCTGGATGGATCAGAGGCTGCAGCTCCCGTTTACTGCCTTCTGTTTTCACAGAGGCAGGCAGAGATAGAATGTCCCAGGAGAAGGTAGACGAACATCACCATAAACTTACCAAGTTCATTGTTTCACAGAATCAATAAGAGAATCGATAAAAGAATCGATAAGGGATCAAAACGTTTCGCAGAATCGATAAGGGAATCAGAATTGTGAAAATCTTATAAATTCCCATCCCATTGCAAAAGACAAAGCATTCTCTGTCATGACAGATATGAAAAAAAAGGCGTTTTGTTTCTTGTTTGGAAGATTTTTTATCAGAAATGACTGAATTGCTACAATGGTAAAATTTGTCATTGTTCATAATAGAGTTCAGAAGAGCTCACTGTGATTCTCAAAGCTTCGGTTAAACTTTGGTCGGTTCAATAGAGACCATGTCTCTGAAGCAGGATGCTGGAGGTGAACAAAATCCAGCAGACGCTCTGCTGCACTTCTTCCAGATGGTAGCTGACCGCAGACAGCGCCGCAGACAGGAGGCCGGCTTGTTTTGTTTGTATGACTGTGATTGCGGAAAACAACTCGTGAAGTTGGACCAGCTAGCAGAGCAAGGTGTGCGAGAACGCTGGGACCCTTTTTCCACCTGGATCCCTGCTCTTTTTGGCCCTCATCTCCCTTAATTGTCAGACAAACTTGCCCCCACTTCCTCACCGCCTCGGCCGTATCTAGACCCACAGCGTGCAGCGCAGATCACGCTCAAATTTGGGCATAAACCAAAAATGTCTGCGACAAGCTCTCTGCGACACACTGCTGCGGGAGGATAACCAGCCCTTAAGGCTTTGGTATACGGGTTGTGTGGCTAACCACTACGCATCAAGGATTTTTTAGTGACATATTGTTAACTACCAGTAAGGGAGGTCCCATAAGAAACCAAACAAACATGGATGCTAGAAACTGCCTGGATAACAGGGAGTCCAGATTTCTATCAAAATATGATGCCTTTGGAGTGAAAGTCCTTAAAGCTCTATAGTGACCTTAGTATCCTCAGCGCTCTTCCTTTCTCTCCTGCACATTTTAATAAAGACTAATGTGTTTGCCGACATCGGCTCACTCTAATTACTTTGATTAATGGCCTCCTTGCCTTTGGTAAACAGTATGAGCTGTGTTCCAATTTATTCAGGGAAATTAACCAATCAGAATTAAATGCTCTGATCATATTCCCTCACCTCTCAATGAACACAAGGGCCAAATGTGCTCTGATTCATTTTTCCTGGTTTTCTGTCACTGCCGGGATAATAGAAGCCTTTCTTTGTCAGACATAGTGCACATAAAGACGCAGCCGTCCGTTTAATGGCTCATTTTTAATGAGGGTGGGGGAGAACTCAGAGGACAGGTTCTCTTAGAGAACTTGTCCTTGCTGAAATGTGAAGTAGTGTTTTGCTGGTCAGATGAAGAAAATGGTACTCTCAGTAAACAGAACTGACCTTCAGCAGGTTTAGATGGAATCTACAGAAATGGAGAATAAAAGATGTTTCTAGAAATGATTCAAAGGAGCCTAAAAAGATTGGATTTGTTATCAGCTTTTCATGGGTTTTGACATTTTTTCACACAAAAAGGGAGTTCTGACTTAAAAACTGGGTACGCTCTGATTGTAACGATTAGGTCAAAGAAGGTAGCAAAATGAATCTGACTTCACACTATGAGGTATCCAAGCATTTTGGTGAGAAGGACTCTGGTGGGACCTGATAGTGATTTGCTTAATCAGCCAATTAAGATTTAGAGATTTGTAAAAATAAGATAAATCAATCTGTACAAAATTAAATCTACGCCATGTAGCGTTGACATGTGTGTTTCCACCATTTCACTATTTTGACCATTTCACTATTGCCATTCAGACTGGAAAAGTTAACAAAGAAGTCCATCCATCCATCCATCCATCCATCCACACCCTTCCTAACAGTCTGTGGTTATTACAGGTTTCACTTAAGCTAAACCACTTTAAAAGTAACCTCAGTGTTTGTTACTTTATTTTCACCCACATAAAAACCTAAAATGAAGAAAACAGCTTAAGATTTTCTTTTCTTTTTCTACCGACCAGAGCATGCTTCTGATGCACGTTATGTAGTGCAGAAAAGGCAACCTAGAGAGCTCTGCACTTAGCAGGACAGAAAATCCAAGTTTCTGAAAGATAAATTGAAAAGGTCAACATTTCAGCTTTTCTCAGGCTGTTAGACAGGCAGCATTGTGGCTGTTTGTAAAGAAGCTGTCAAAGTCATATGTCATGTTTTGACTTCTTTGAGAGCTTCCTTTGCCAGCTTTCTTATCATCTCTCAACATTCAGTCCAAGTAAGTCAAATAAAAAAGGAAAATATATAAACTGAAACATCTTTTTTCTTCAGAAATAAACATTAAAATAGACGATTGAGTTAAAATGCATATAATTATAAACACCTAATGTTTTGCCTTATGACTAAATAAAACTAATGATTTTGTCAGAACAATAATATTTAAAGCTCAACTGAATAGGGACAATGGAACTTTTTCTCCTATGAAAGTGAGTTTTTAGGTCCGTCATGAATAAAAACTCCAGCTAGTAACAAATACTTCATGTACAGTATGCATATTGTAAAGCCCTGACTTAAAGTAGAAACATAGAGAGAAGTAGTGTGTACCATCAAATCCCTGTCTGTTCTTCTGTTCAGAGCACCTGAAGGTGGCTTTGGAGGAATACATGACTAGAATACCAAAGGTTCGCATCCTGAGGACTAAAAAGAGGGAAGGTCTGATCAGGACTCGGCTGCTAGGAGCAACAGCGGCTAAAGGAGAAGTTATCACCTTCCTGGACTCTCATTGTGAGGCCAACATCAACTGGCTGCCTCCTCTGCTGGGTGAGCAACACAAACAGGCATTCAGTACCAATTGTTTGTGCCCCTTTTTTTAAACAATTATGCGCACTTTGCTTATGAGAGATATCAGAAAACATGTTATTAAACTTCTCATGTGCATCAGCATCCAGTGGAAAATGGGAGATGAATACGTCTTTTAGACCGTGATTTATCACGATCTTCTCTGCATCTGACAGCGGGAGCAGCGGGACATCAGGGCTGAGCGGCACTAGATTGGAGCAAGATGCTATACAGATAGAGCACCTCAGCTAATCAAAGGCGATGAGTGGGTGGGGCCAGCTCTGAAATTATAAGAGGAGGAAGAATGATAAATGATTAAAATGGCTTTTTTACAACAAAGCCACAAACTTCCAAAAAGCATTGCCTTACTCTCGTGAGAATGTTTTTTAGATTTTGAAACTCCAACGACCGTCGCTGCATATCCATGGCAGGTGATGCGTTGCTGTGGCATCATGGAAATTTGCCAGTTTGCATGGCAGCCCTCCTGAACACGCCTCTACATACAGATCACATATAAATGCCTTCTGGTGTGTCATGATTTAATTAAAGATATGACCCAAAATGCAGAAAACCAAACAGAGAGACCAGGGAAAAGTTTAACAGGTTTATTTAGTATGATGAGATGAATCCAGTGCTGCTCTGAACACTGTCAAACCCGAACTGGAAAGAAAAGGGGGAAGACACTGCGGTTAGTTCAGGCTCAGTGGGAAATTAGATTCTTTGACTTGAAGAGTAGGAATAGGTTGCAGACTCACGTTTCCAGAAAAAAGGTGTCTTAATTGAATCCAATCTGTGTGGGATGTTCCAGTGATTGTCTTGTTTGATGGTGGGTGGACAAGGTTTACTCAGACTGCGGTTGTTCCTTGGTGAACGGAGAAGCTGACTGCCACTTAGATTTCCTGTGGTACTTGAATGGGTTATTGTGGAGATGAATCCCCTACTCAGAGAGAAGCCCCAGACAATCCTTGGCGAAAAGGTTGATCCAAACTATAAACTTGAATCCTTAGCTCAGTTTGGCTCTCAGAAGATCCTTCCAGAGGAGAGAAGGTCCGAAACATCCAGTTTGCAGGATGACTTCCTGCTGAAAGGCAAAGACAAAAGCGGCAAGATTAAAACTCAGGTAAACAAGAAACTCAGTTTGACTCAGCAAACTCAGCTTGGCTAAAGTACCCAAAACAAAAACTCAGGTTAGACTCTGCTAAACTAAGCATGGCTAGAGTACTCCAAGCTGTCAAACACTCTGGCATCGAGGTAGTGGCAGTCAGCAGCTTAAGAACACTCCACAGGTAATGAGGCAACGAGCTGAAGGTGTGCAGGGAGGCCCAATGAGGACGGGGCGCCACCTGGTGGAGGAGGAAAGGAAACACAAACTGGATTCCTGACATGGTGTCAATATATCAATAGTATATGACACCATAAGTTTACAATATTTTTTTCCCAGTCTATTCTAACTTTTATGATAGCTTTTTTTTATCCTCCGAAATACCAGAAATACATACTTTATATATTTAACTCTCTATATATTTAATATAGTATATTGTTTTTTCTTTCTAAAATAAGTGACAATTTGAACTTTTCCAAGATATTTTTTTAAGCTGCACCAATTCAATAACTGAATTTTAATTGAATTAATGATTTAACCGATTAAATATTGAAGGCTCAAGTGCAACATCTTACCCAGATTGTTTAAGTGTTAGGTGGCTTTTCTTCTTTGCAAGTTAAACTGACTGAGATGTAGAATTATAAAGCAAAATGCAAAGTGCTTTAAATGTTTTTTGAGTTATTCCTAATTACACTTTTTAATTCTCTCTTTAATAGTGTTTGTTTCTTTCACTATTGTTCCCAACTCTGTGAGGCCAAAGAAATGCAAGACATAAATATTACCACAGGAAATACACTTGCTGCAAAGAAGATTTCTAGAGTCAGCAGCCCCATTTTACAGGTCGAAAGTTTGATAGGATCATTAAAAACTCCATAGATTTAAAAGATTGTTTGCATTTTGTAAAATCTTTGCCCCCGCTGTCTTAATTATTCCGTAAAACTCCTTTCTTTACTGAACCAAGAGGTTTCTCACTAAATAAAACAGATGCATTTACTGGCACATCGCCCCTACTGAGAAGTTAAGTGCCTCTTCTCCAGCTTTAGATTTGCTAACAAACATGCCCCCACTTTCTCAAACAACCTTTTTGCCATTAAGGTTGATCTCTGCTTCTCAGCATGTTTCTGAGCCACTGAATAAAACTGAACTTTGGTCACTCCCCATTAAACTATCTACATTTCAAGTAATCAGATTAGAGACATGATGTAGATTGTTATCAGTTTAGATATTCTAGACACTGCAGCTATTTTAATAGCATTTTTGTTATAAAAGTAAAAATTTGCATGGAAACTACTGATTTGCAGTTATAAAGATGCTATTTTATTATTAAATTATTTGGTCGTTATTAGTCAGATTTTTTTCTTTTAAACATCTGAATGTAAAGTGAACATTTATTCTAATTTCCCCTGAATTAAATGTTACATAACTAAAATGGCCTATTGGATATAAATAGTTTAAATATGTTCAGTTCATCATGCTATTGGAATGCAGTTCTCGCTAATGTAATCGATCATTAAATGACAAACAGGGAATTATCTAACAAATCCCAGCTGATGGCAGCGAAATCAGTGACTTTGCATCAACGCTGCAATCTTAGCAACTACTTTGCTCTAACAGGAGAACAACAGAATAGAAGCAGGATTTACTTGAGCTCTGATCTGTTGCAGCTAGTTGGAGACAGAGAAGGAAAAAACACAGATTAACACAGAAGCACTTTTCCAAAATAACATTCAATGTTAAAGGAAAATTTAAAATCATAAATATGCTGCTATAACTCAAAGATAAATTCTTCATATGAAACAATCATATTCATAAATGGCCCATAAGAGCAAGATCATTAAACATCACTTTATTTTGAGAATAAAGATTAGTTGATTTTATGCTATAGTCTATCATGGGCTTTTCTGCGTGGAGTTTGGTCCATATGAGGAGCAGCTACTGAAACTGATTCTGCCACCAATGATCAGCATCTTGGCCTCATGCTGAGCAATCGCTAACACAGTCTTCTTTTTCTAATCCCACTTCTTAATCATCTACGATGGAAGTAAAGCTACATGGAGCATGCTAATACCATAGCTTTGAAGACATGATTGAATATGTTCCTCTGTGCTTTTTAGACCGGATTGCACAGAACCGGAAGACCATTGTGTGTCCGATGATAGATGTCATCGACCATGACCACTTTGGGTACGACAAGCAGGCAGGAGACGCCATGCGTGGAGCGTTTGATTGGGAGATGTACTACAAACGGATCCCCATTCCTCCAGAGATGAAAAAAAAGGACCCTACTCAGCCTTTTGAGTGAGTAAAATCCAAAATTAGTCATGAGAATGGATTTCAACTATAAACATCAAGGTTTCTCCTCCAGCCTTGAATTGAGAAAAACTTTCTGATTAGATTTCACTTCAATTGTTACCGTTTTGCAGTTGATTGTCTTGCTGAGTCTAGAAATGTGCTGCATGTTGGGGAAACTCTGCTGGCTCCATTTCTGCATTGTTCTGACATGAAACAAAACTCAACCCTTCAGTGAATAAACCTGTTGCCCTGACATGCACATAATGCAGGTGCTAGAGAGACCCCCCTGCTGGCCCAGCTGAGCAAGCAAACAAGCAACTATCATGACAGATTAAAGATGGAAAGCAGAGTTATTTAGACAAGGCAGAGAACACTGTGAGGAGAAACCTGTTTGATTTCTCCAAAATTAGCCTAATTTTCTTCATCAAAAAATCCAGAAGATTCGCATGGTGGCTTCACCAATCGACTGGATCAAGGATTCCCTGACCAACAGATTCATTTGTAAAACTCCAAAGTCACGTGTCTAGACAGGCAGCATAGGAGCACCTCCAGCTTCCAGTACATGACAGACCCCCGTCATCAACAATCTGAAGTTATTGATGTATCGAAGATGGAACAGAAGCTGAGTACAGAGAGCTGGTCAACCGCTTTGTGGTTCACCAGCCTGATCATGTCTGATCCTGAAGGTGAACCACAGAAGGGAGATGATTATAGAAACATGAACCTGTCAAACAAAATGACCATGATGGGAGAAGAGGTAGAGGAGTTTAAATGCATCGGGGGTTTACTCGACTAGAGACACGGATGTGAAGCTGTCGAAAATAGAGACTTTCTCAGGAGAATTAGGCCGTTTATTGTTTGCAGCAAGATGTCTGTAGTGGGAAAAAAGTTTTCAACTATTCACCATAGTTAAATACACGGAGATTGATGGATTTCACTCAGTCGGCACATTTATTCATATCTTTGCAAAGAGAGAGCAGTTCGTCATACAGCCCTAATGGCAGCATTCTGCCCTGTTCTGCTAGAGCAGCATGTGTTCAATTCAATTCACTTTATTTCTATAGCTCCAATTCACATAATCTCATCTCAAGGCGCTTTCCAGTTCACCAGATCATCCAGTCAGATTGATTCAAAGTTTTCTATCTAAGGAAAACCAGCTGATTGCATCAACTCATTGACTTAAATGCACTCCTTCACACTAAGCATGCTTGCAGCGACATTGGAGAGGACAAAACTTCCTTTAAACAGGAAGAAACCTCCAGTAGAACCAGGCTCAGTGTGAGCGGCCATCTGCTGAGGCCCACTGGGGTTCAAG